TGTGGAAAGTCAGACCCATAATGGATCGTGTCAGAAAAGGCTGCCATTTACTTCCAAGATCCCGGGACTTGAGTATTGATGAACAAATGATCCCATTTACAGGAGCTTGTCCTCTTCATTGTTATGTTCCCAACAAGCCAAATCCAATTGGGCTAAAAAAAGTTATGTTCTTGCCAGTCCAAATGGCTTAGTTATGGATTTTGTAATGGACCAAGGGGCAAGAACATATAATCCTGTTCCAGATCAATTTAAAGTGGGAGTGAGTGGAGCTGTAATTGCTCATTTAGCGGAGGGGTTGACAGCTGGGACACATATTTGATCGGTATTTTACCAGTTTCCCATTGGTTGAATACATGCTAACTAAAGACATGTACCTAACTGGGACAATCATGGGAAATAGAGTTTCTAAAGAAACTAAAAAATTGTCAGATGATGAAATTTTTTCTAGACTGGGTTGTGGAGCACATGATATGATTTTAAGCCAAGATGGAAAAATTGCTTTTGTGAAGTGGTTTGACAACAAACCAATATTGTTAGTTTCGACATGTTATGGTGTCACAGAAGATTTTTGTCGTCGTTGGGACGAAAAGGAAAAATGTCAATGTATCACGGCCAGTTATCATTAGGGAATATAATGCAAAGATGGGAGGTGTAGATCTTTGTGACCGAATGAAGAGTCACTACCTGATAAAAGCCAAGACCAGGAAGTGGACAGTTCAAGCCATAATGCATTTCATTGATCTATCCCTGACAAATGCATGAATTTGGTATCGAACTGACAAAAGTGAACTTGCTATTGCTCGCAAAGATATCCTCAGTTGTCTAAAGTTTCGAATGGATATTGCAGAAGCCTTCCTTGGAGCAACAAAAGTTGAAAGCTCAGAAACTGATATAGAGGAGGAGCAACCTGTTACAAAAAGAAAATATGAGCAGATTCCATCAATCATCATCCGCTAATCACATGCCAGAAACGGACAATTTCAAGAACTCATCACAATGCAAAAATACTGGATGTTTATGCAAAACAAGATTCAGGTGCCTGTCTTGTAATGTGCATCTTTGCGAAACTGCAGATCGGAATTGCTTTGCTGCATTCTATTCCAAAAAATAGAACACTGATCAATATTTACCAACTCTTTAGTATTTTAGATTTTTTAAATTTTTTAAATTTTATTTTCAAATTTTGTTTTAATAATGATTTGTAACATTACAGCCAACTTTTTGGGTTTAATTCTTAAATTTGTGAATGTAAACATTTTAATATTCGTGCTATTACATCCAACTGTCCATTAAAGTGGACATCATTAATTAAGTTGAAAATATTGTACGAATAGGCTAAATGTTTTTTAGTAGTCTATTTATGTCCCTATGATTTAGAAACAAATAAAAAATATTGAAATATTTTTGTAGAACTCGCGTGGATCTGAAGAGGTTAATATAAAAAAGTTTTAAACTTCTTTTTTAAGGTTTTTTAAGGTTTTAAGGTTCTGATGATAAGATCATTATGATCTTCTTACAGAAGCCTTGTTTGATTTTTTAAATGATAGCAAATGTAAACAAGCAAGAAAAAAAAATATTATAATATAGATTTTTTAAACTCTTTTTTTTTTAACTTTAGCAATTTATTTTCATGTAAAGTAGAGCATTTAATTCCGATAATGTAATTCCGATATGTAATTCTGACGTTGTTTAGACGTTGGCTCAACGTAGTGTGTTAGTTGGGTTATAAGATAGAGGAAATATTTAATTTATTAAACAACCTTAAAAGTTTGCAAAACTTTTTTTTAATAAAAGTTTATGCACTAATTTTAGTATGGTATTGAGAAGCAGTATAGTTCAAAAGTAGAGTGAAAATCTTAAAACGTCTTATAACAATTTTTACGTCACTTCACGCGTTTTATTTGACAGATACGTATTTTTTCTTTCTTTGTGGTTTTTAAGGTGCTTTCAAAAGTCCTCTTGGTCTTATCACAGAGCATCATGGAAGAGTATTTAACTAAGAAGTTCACGCCTCCCAAAATTACCAATAAAATTTAAGTTTTTGAAGCTCAATGTTGACTTTATCAAAAAGATCATTGATAGAGATAGATGAGTAAAACAAATTGGTATCATCAGCAAACATTATACAATCGAGATTTGTGGAGGCTTTAGGGAGATCGTTAATGTAGATAAGAAATAATAAAGGAGCAAGAATAGATCCCTGGGGGACACCGCATTTTACTTTTAATAACTTGTATTAGTTGTACCGTCTTTTATAACACATTGTTGTCTGTTATTTAAATAATTAATGAACCATTTAATTATTTGGTTTTTTATACCGTGTTTTTTCATTTTGTCGAGCAGAATTTTATGGTTGAGAGTAGCGAAAACTTTTGTAAGATCAATAAAAATTCCCAATACAAATTTTCTTTTATCAATAGATGATCTAATGTTGTCCTTTAGGTCTAAGGTTGCATGCTCCTTAGAATGATTTGTTTGAAAGCCGTATTGACATTCACTTAGAATTTTATTGGCTGTTAAATATTTATAAAGTCGGTTGTACATTATTCTTTCAAGGAGTTTGAAAAACACTGGAAGAATTGAGATAGGTCTATAATTGGTTAGCAAGGCCGTGTCTCTAGTTTTAAATATAGGTAAAATCTTCGCAATCTTCATAGTTAAATTCCCATCTTCAAAGAAGATGGGAATTTAACTATGAAGCTTGTTTCAAACCCTAGATCTTTTTCTAAAAGTTTGAAATCCAGGATTCAGAGCACGCGCTCTAACCACTGTAACACGACCACTGGATTTATTTATAAGTGGCCGCTAAATATATTCAGAACTGTAGTATTACTAGTTATTTACAGAGGTATTTTTAGTTTATAACTGTAGTATTATCAGTTCTTGATATCAATATTTTTCCAAAATTGATGACATTTAAAAAAAAAAACACGTAAAATATCGACAAAGTTTACTATTGGTATTTAGTAATCTTTCTAAGTAAAACTTTCTCTGAATGCTGATAAAACTAAATTTATTTTGTTCCAAAAAATGAATAAAACTGATAACGTCCCATTAAAATTACCAAATCTTATTATATATAAAGCTATAATTAGAAGAGATTCATTGGTAAACTTTTTAGGCGTTGAATTGGACGAAAATTTAAGATGAAATTTTCATATTAATAGCCTGGAAAAAAAAATTTCTAGAAATGTAGGAACAATTTATAAAGCTAAACTATTTCCTAATTTTAAATCACTAAAAGGTTTATACTTTGCTTTTATCCAGTACCAGGTTGAAATACTTTAGCAAAATGCTTTTTCAAAATATTAGGGACCCGCCAAATTTTTTAAGGGTCATGCAACACCCCTAAAATTTTATTCAAAAAACCTAGTGTTTTTGTATTATATAAAACACATTTAGTTAAGAGCAGCAGACTAAAAAAAAAGTTGTTTATCGAACCACCCTAATCTTTATAAACAAGGTTGCTGCGTGGAGAAACAAGTTAATTCATTTGAATTTCAAATTAAAATTTGTAGTAAATTAAATAAAATTATATAAAATATACTTTAAATAAAGTTTAAATAGAATATTAAAATAACCCAGGTATTTTTTATAAAAAACCCAGCTAAATTTATCTTTCGAATAAAAGCACAATCTTTGTTCTCTTGATCAGAGATTTAATTCAACATAAATAAATAATAAATCTTTTCGAATTTAAATTACTTTAAATATCTTTTTTAATATACTGTAATATCGCCTGGGCAAGTACCAATCATACAAAATTAAAAAAGCTTTACAGTAAACAAAAACATGCGTGTTAAATTATATTTGGAGCAAAGAGAGCAGAATCCTGTGAGCCTATACTGAGTTTACTTAGAACTTTAAATATTTATAAAATAAATTTACACGAAATTTTAGTTTTTATGTATAGAAATAAGCTAAAAGTGTCGTCAAAAATATTTGAATCCTATTTTAGTGAAATCTGCCATAAAAATAGCACAAGATTCTCAGTAAACAACTTTGCTGTCCCAAGATATAGTCTAAAATTGAGTTCATACTCAATTAAGTATCGTGGTCCGTATTTATGGAATTTATTTTCAGATATTATAAATATAAAGAAAACCACTCTTGATCGATTTAAAAAAGAATCTAAACGGTTGTTCTTATTTATGGATCTCACTATGCTAGATTTTGAATGTTTTTTTCAAAAATAAAATAAAGCTTTAATAAAAAATTAAGATAACTTAAATTTTAATTTTTTTAAATTTAAGTTTTTTGAATTTAAGTTTTTAAATTAAATTTTTTTTTTTTTTTTTTAGTTGAAAAAAAAATTATTTAAAAAAATGTTATCATCACAACCCACCAGGGCTGTGGAATCCGAGTCGGAGTCGGAGTTGGAGTCGGAGTCAGAGTTGTGCTCAAAAAACTTCAACAACTATGTTGGGGTATGGAGTCGTTACTTTTTTTTACGACTCCATACCCCTGCAACCCACAATAACAAAGTTATTAATGATATTACTCTCTTAATATAAATATAAGTATATATCTTTTTTTTTTGTTTTGTTTATTATCTTATTTTATTTTATTACAAGTATATAATCGTTTTTTTTTTGTTTTTTTTTTTTGTAACTGCAGTTGCATTCTTTTTCTTTTTACAACTGCAGATAATGTAAACATTTTAGCAATTACGCCAATATAATATAATATTTATATATTACGATTTTATAAAAATGGGGCTCGGTGATAAGACAGAATTATATCTTCTTCTTGCTCCAGCCATTATATATTTTGTTGTATATACATGAAAATTGTATTTATTATAGAAGGCGAAATAAATATAAAAAACAAATAATAATAATAAAAAAAAAATCTAAGCAATAAAACTACTTTTGTCTTCCTTTTGCCCTGGCCTCATAAATATTTATTTATACATTTTGGTATTGTTGTAATATTTAAAGGGCGAAATATATACAAATAAAAAATCCTGACACATGCTTAACTTTCATTTTTAAATCACAAATAAATTTTCGGCAACCGTATTAGTTTACCTTGCTTCTTTTTCTATCGTCGGTGACCGTGATAAATCTTTTAAATTTCCCTGTCAAGCTTTTAGCCATCATGGCGGTTGGCAAGAATAAGAGGCTTTCAAAGGGCAAGAAAGGATCCAAAAAAAAGATGTAAGTGGAAGTATTGCATTGCGTAGATCAATGGAAGTTTTCACTTCAACCTTATTTATGTTGCATTTGGTAAAAAAAAACGATGTTAATGATAATCATCGATATAAATTATTGAATTTATACACTTTCTGTAACTTGGCCAATCTCAATAACTTAAAAAGCGACCTTCATTTAATGGTTTTCATATAGCTTGTTAAAGAAAAAAAATACAATCATGTTATTTCAAAATTCCTTATAATTCTATTCGTATAACATATTAGTAAGTAAACTCTTGAGATTTATAAAAATATATTAGAAGAATAATCGTTTTAATTTTTTTATTTAAACATTAAACATGTAGCATTTTATTTTAATGTAAAGCAACGTCAGTATAATTATGAAACTTTAATGTATTCAAAAAATAATTTCTAATTGCCTAAATATTAATTTAATAATAATAATAAATAAAAACGCTAAAAGCATCGATTACTCTCCTATTAAATTTTTCTGCCAAAAATACTAACTTAATTTGTTTTTAAGTAAAACTACATTATTCAAATCCTATTGCTCAGTTTCTATGATTGATTGTGATGAGTACAAACCCTATTGCTCAGTTTCTACGATTAATTGATGAGTAAAAAATTTAAGATCAAATACATTTATACTGTGTGTTGGACAGTTTAATGACAATAACTATGTATGCATTTGACAAGTCATTAATAAATGACATTAGCTAGTTCGTTTTGACCAAAGGAGTAATAAAACTGTTATTTATGATATAATATAATTATTACATCAAACCAGTTATTTTTGAAGTTGTTTAAAGTTTCTGGTAAAGTAAATTATTATAAGTAAATATATTTGTGTGTGTGTGTGTATATATATATATATATTTGTATATATATATTTTTTTTATATGTTTATATATATATATATATATATATATATATATATATATATATATATATATATATATATATATATATATACATACATACATACACACATGTCATTCAGGTTTAATTCCTATTTTAAAAAAGTAACTTTTTAGGTCCTAATCATAAAAAATTCTGGATCTTTCTTTATTTTTGAATACAAATTAAATACTTTTCAAAAATTTTCATAAGTAAACATTAACAACAGTTTATAATGAAATAAATATTTTAGTGTGGACCCTTTCTCCAAAAAAGATTGGTATGATGTTAAAGCCCCTTCTAATTTCAATGTTCGAACAATTGGCAAAACTGTAGTATCTCGAACTGTCGGCACAAGTAAGAATTTTTTATTAAAAATTTTATAACAAATTGTTTTGATTTTTGCATTTAAAATTTACTAGTTTTTTAAGTTGTTTCTAGTAATAAAAATAAGCAGAGCTAATTGCTTCTTTAAATTAAAAAAGGGAACTGTATCAATAGAAATTATATTTCTGTCTTTTTTTATTATTATTATTATTTTTCTATTAGTGATTTATTTTTTCATTTAGAAATTGCATCTGATGGTTTGAAAGGAAGAGTTTTTGAATTAGCCCAAGCTGATCTTAATAATGATGAAGTTTCTTTTAGAAAGTTCAAACTGGTTGCAGAAGATGTTCAAGGTCGTAATGTCATTACAAACTTTCATGGTATGTCAATGACAACAGATAAACTTCGATCTCTGATGAAAAAGTGGCGAACATGTATTGAAGGGCATGTTGATGTAAAAACCACTGATGGGTATTTGCTTAGATTTTTTGCTATTGGTTTCACTAAAAAACGAAATAATTCAATTAAGAAGACTTGCTATGCAAAGAGTTCTCTAGTAAAAGCCATACGAAAAAAAATGGTTGACATAATTACTCGAGAAGTTGCAGAAAAAGACTTAAAAGATGTTGTCAACAAATTGCTTCCTGACAGTATGGGTGCAGATATAGAAAAATCATGTCAAAACATTTATCCACTTCAAGATTGTCACATTCGCAAAGTTAAATGCTTAAAGAAACCAAAATTTGATTGTAAGTTTAATTAATTAGAATTTTTTTTGTGTGGGCAGGTTTTTAATTAGTTCTACTATTCGAAACTAAAGTGGTTATATTAAAGCTAGTTGTTTCTTCGTGAATTAGCTTTACATAGTTCTTATATATGTCTACATAAATATTTTTTTAAATAATAAAGGTATATTGTATATTACCTTAATCTACAGGGTCGAGTCGCATTTTATGTGCGTAAACAATAAAAAGCTAGAAAACACAACTAATAATATTTAAAGTTAAAAATAGGTTTACAAAATATAATCGCATGATTATGCATTATCATAATAAACAAAAGAAGAATGGTTTATATCTAATAATAATCTGTTTAAAAAAATATTTAAAACTTTGTTCTTTTCTTTTTAATATATTCAAACCTGATAAATAATTGTTTTGTTTTGTTACTGAATTTTTCCCAACAAACTCATGAAAATGTATGTAAATAGCTTGTAAATAAAACCTTATAGCACTTTTAATATTATTTTTTTTTTTTAAATAAAACAAAATGCTTGTGGTAATAGCATTTTTTTAATTAAATGCGATTAAAATGAAATTTAAAAGTATAAATAATATTATTTTGATAAACTCTTTAAAATTTTAGGTTTTATGTTTTTGAATGTAATGTTGTACAAAGTTTTATTGATTTCTTAATTTATGCAAACTATTTAGTTCAAAAATACTTTTAAAACAAAGCAACTTTTTATTTACTTTCTAATATGCGATATGTGAGTTGCGTTTTTCACTTAATACATACATAAAGTATGGCTCAACCATCTACAGTAATGTTTTAGTTGCAGTTTTTATTCTAGAAAAAACAAACATATCTGTATTTATAGTTTAGACAACTTCGACCATATTTAGGCGCTGCTCAAATTGAAATTTGAGTAGTTTTTTTTTTCAACATTTCTATGGCAAATATTGTTATTTACGCATAAGTTTCCCAAATAAGGGGCTACCGCTGTCCAAATTTTTTTTTTCTTAAATAGTCCCTGGTATATATGTATGTATAAAAATAGTTAAAGGCAGAGTTGTTAGTCCTTGGCCTAGGCTTCAACCTTGCTTTAAGGCCTTGGTCTTGGACTTAATTGTTATGTCTTTAACCATCAAAATAAAAAAATACATAAAATTAAAGAATTTTTCATTCTTTATTTTTATGTTTTTTTATTTTTGGCTTTAATATTTATCTAGAAATATATTCTCTTATTGACTTTATCGAGTTCTGTTCATAACCTTAGTTTATCTTTACAAGCTTTTATTTTCATAACAATTGCCTACAGCTTTGGTAATAATTGGCCTTAATAAGATACAAATTTAATTCTTTGAACTTAATAAAAGTTTGTGTAGGCCTTGGCCATTCCTATTTTTGAACTGATCTTTTAACTCTTGGCCTTGCTACTTTAGGCCTTGTTAACAACTCTGGTTAAAACAAATATATTTGTTTTTAAATGCCTTTAGATGAGTGTGTTAACTTTCCAGGTCTTTGTTTTTTGAAAATGCTAAACCTTATTTTAATTTATATGAGTGTCTATCATTTTTTTCTTATAATTCAGGGTTTTAGTTAATTTTTGTTGACTCGTTAACAGAAAACATGTTTAGATGCTCAAAATACATATTTATATGTTTCAATGTGTTTTAGATACTTAAACCCATCTTTTGCCTACTCTGGGTATTTTTTTGGGTACCATATTTTCAATATTTTTACACAATACTTTGCATTTAGCTAACTAAATCGACTTCTGATTTATGTTACTCAACTGTTGGTTTAAAGGTTATTTAGTTCTAATTTATGAAGATATAAGGACTCATTAGCAAATATTACTGGTGAATTAAATGCAAATAAGTTGTAGATTCATGTCAACCCATATTAATGACCATTTAATTATTTTATTACCAATGGCTATATTTTTATGCTTGTTTTGATGTTTTATACATTATTTATTTATTTTTTACTTTTTAGTGCATAAGCTAATGGAAATGCACGAAAGTTCTGGAACTGCAACAACTACAACTGGTACCGCTGGAGGTGTTGTTATTGATCGTCCTGACAATTTTGAACCACCAGTTTTAGATTCAGTGTAATTTATAACAAAAATAAAATCTAACTGCCATGTTGATTTGTTTTTGTCTTGATTGTATATTTAAATTCTATAATTTAAATTATCTAAATATCCTATAAACGTTTAGGTTTTTGTAAACTTAATATTCAGTTATACTGAATATTAGTAAGTTCTCACGTAGTCCAACTGAGTAGTTCAAAACGATTACTTGGATTTTTAGATATTCTTTTACCAGTGACACTTTTATCAAATTTAAAAATGCTTTTTGTCGCTTAATGTTTTAATAGCTCTTTTTCATTCTTTTTTCCTCTTATCTATTTAACAACCGTTTTAATGTTTTGTCTTTGTGCTTATTGTCTGCCATTAAGTCGACTTGAGCTGAATTATTTGAAACGGTAACGGGAAAAATTTTATTGATGAAAAATCAGGCGAGACGAGACTCGTTAAATGGCGAGAAATTTCGAAGCAGAAACGAAATATATTTTTATATACGAAATATAATTCGGTTCTTGTTAACTTTATTATATGAAAAAATCAGCGCTTTATTATGCTTTTTATTCTCCAATAATTAGCAAGTTTCATACGTGAATGTCTGGGCACTAGTATTTGAGCTGTAGGGACAAAATTTAATATCGCGTTTGTTTACGTTTAAAAACTGTAATGTAGAAAGTATTATAGTACAGTAAAACAAAGATAAATATAAAAACTTATATAATACAGACTATTTAACTATTTATTTATTATTACTTATCCTTTAAAAAAAGATTTTTTTAAAATAAATAATATTATAGAAAACTTTCAACGGATTTTATTAATCTGTTTAAAAAGGGCTTATATATCATAGATTTATAGACCACAAGGTCTCATATTATAAACTAAATTCTTTATCAGTGATGAAGAATTGTAATTTGCGATTTCATTTCCGATTTTAAGAAACACATATTTGGTACTCTGTAGATCAAGGATATCAATCTTCAATGAAGGGTAGTTATAGATTCAGGTATGACCCTGAAGGCTCAAATTTTAAATTTAACATTAAAATAATGACTAAATGTTCAATTAAATTATCTTAACTAAATAAATAATATACACACAAAGATCTATTAAAAATTATACTATAAAGCTAATTTGAAAAATACTATATCAGATTTAGCAAAAATTAAAAAGTTCCTAACTTAAGGGGCTACCCCCCTCTGTTTTTAAATCTAAGTATTTAAAAAAAAAATGTTATGGGTTTCTAGGTTTTAGTAAAATATAAACCTTTTTAAAAAAAAAAATTGGTGGTTTCCTTGGTAACCAAAAAATACCCCTAAAATGACCAAAAAATAACTTCACGCTGGCCAAAATATAAGAATATGTGTACATATTTACCATTTAAAATTTTAATACAATATTATCATAAAGTAGGGCTGTGAAATGAATGGATCAGATTTTTCATAACATTTTGCCATCATCAAAATGGCGCAATCAAAGATTATAGTCAAAATTTTCATCGATTTTTGGTCATATATATATATTTTTCATAAAATAAATAAATTCCAATCCATTCATTTCACAGAGTATAATATGATAAACACTTCCTGAAAATTTCATACAAAAATGTAATACGGTTCTCCAGATAATTTGGCCGGCGTGCACAAATTGCTATTTTGAGAAAAAGACAATTTAAGTTAAAATTTTTGAAAACAATACAATTTTTTTCATAAAAACTGTTAAAAAATAAACAAAGTTTTCAAAATCCACCAGGAACATACAAGTCACCTTCTTTTTCAATTATTTTCTCATTCTTCTTCAGTTTCTTGGCACGTAATACTTGCCTTCTTAACTTTTTAACAGGGTTCATTCTAATTTCTGCTTTTTGTAATCTTTCATTATTTAATGATTTGCATCCTGCAATCATATGAAAGCCTGGTTCCATGTCCAGTTGCTTCAAAATATCAATAGATGCTTTTGCTCCAATATTAAAATTGGCAACAGCATCATATACATCAATTGTTAATTGGGTAAGTGATACAAATGTTTGTTTTGGTATACGCTTCCAAATCATTCCATAAAAAGACTCATTGGCATTTTGTGTCTTACCATGCAAACATTTTTGTAACTCAATGTCTTTCCTTAAATCCTTAAATAGTTCTTACTTTCATTATGACATCCATTGGTAAACCCGGTTTCGGCTTATAAGTTGATGTCTTATTTATTTTATTGGCATTGTATTTGCACCAGCTGTCTGCACCAGTGAGGCAGTGTGGGAAATGTAAGCTATTATTTTTTGAGGAAGCAACATGCCAACACCAGTTGGATCAGATTTTTGGAGGCTTTGAGTTAAATCACAACCTTTACAATATCTGGACATGATTTCAACATTTAAAGTTTTGCCACTAGCAGTAGAGATGGCAGAAAAGACTCCGTTGAGTGATGAGTATCCTCGTTTTTGCCATGTTCCATCGCAAGATAAACAAATATTGGTTACTTTCAAAGCTGTATTTTGCAATTTATTAGCAGCATTTAACATTGTTCGTTCTGCTACATTCTTAACAGCTTTTGAAATTATTTTTATCAGTTTTTCAAAATTGTTTTTGGTTTTGGCTTAGGTAGATTCATAATGGTACAAAATTTTTTGATGCCTGCATATCCATGACCTAATAATCGCATACAATAAATTACTTGTTTATTGATATCAAATCCTTTTATATTTGTCATAGTTAGAAGTGTAGAACTTTTGAAAATGGTTACAAGCTCTTTTCATACACTTAAGATATAGTAAGGAAGATAAACCACGTCGTTGAGTATATCTCTCACTTAGTGAGATTGTTGAACAACCACACTCTAGACACAAAACAGAACTTAAAATAGATATTAAAACAGCAACATAAATTATACGATAACCAGATATGTCAGGTTTTGAAATAATTTTATCTTTTAAGTTTTCGATTTTATGAGCTGAAGCTGATAAATTAGGTGGATTTTCAAAAATTGGTTCAGTAACACAAGTGATGTTAGGGGCACTTGGATTTATTATTGGCAATTCGATATTAGTACTATCAGATACAATAACAGTATTAACAGAATTTTGAACATCTCCCATAAACCTTTTCCTTTTTTTATGAGTTTGTGTACATTTCTTAACTCGACAAGCTTTTCCCATTTTTACTAATTAAACTAACCTAATAAAATCTCAAGAACTGCTGAACTGAAGAATATTGTCGTACTTGATGTACCAAGATATTGGTAAATTCTAGAAAAACGCATCAAGAAGTTGTTCAAGCTTATGCATTGCAAGTGTAACACTATTTTGGATGAAATTAAGGTAAAAGTATGGTGTATAAAATTGTTTAAGTGCGTTGCTATGGCGTTGCTAAGGAAATTACTTAAGAGGTGGTTAACTTAGACAATTTAAGATAGTTAAAGATTAATCTGATACATCCAAAACAAATTTTATGATTCTGCATAGTTTGAAAGAGTTAAAATTAAAAAAAAAAAAAAATTGAAAATTTTGAAATTTTATGGGGGGATAGCCCCTTAACTAGAAAGTGATATAGCTTAAGTAATTAAAAAAAAAATTTTTAATGTTCTCCTGTTTATCATTATGTTAAATACAAAAATTATTTTAATATCAGCAAATTTACCCAAGAATAATAAAAGACGGACATAAGAAATAATTTACAAAAAATGCTAGGGATATATATATATATATATATATATATATATATATATATATATATATATATATATATATATATATATATATATATATATATATATATATATATATATATATATATATATTTAATATTGTGTTCATGGTAATTGTATCGTTCCACTACTTATATTTTGTTTAATCCTGCAACTATGTCTGGAGTAGAGCAGTGAATAACTCTATGATCCATGATTCAAAATGTTCCTACGTAATATGTCCATCTCTAAAATTCATTCAGTTTGTTTGTAAATCTTATATTTTTTTTTTATAAAACGTCATCTTTGGAAAGCCTGTAACACTTATTTTCTCCATTAGCGGTTTTACTTTTAAAGTTATTGAAGCACTGTTTTAATAATTTTCAAGCAACCATTAATTATTAAAATGCTGCGCCAAAAAAACAGTTAATCATTAGTAATTAGTAGTAAAATAAATATTTCTCATATTTTAATATATTATTGTAATAATCAGATAATGTTAACTGCTTTGTGTGATATACTCTATGAACAACTGAATAAAGTATACATGCATTTGTTTTGATTTTTTTCGTATTTTTCGACTTGATTATATTAAGCGATGAGATCAAGCGCTATTAATTTCTTATTAGTGTAAGCGAGAAAATTTTTCAACTTATCTCAAAATCTAAAAACGGCTATAATTTTGTCCCTACAGGCCAAATTCAGATATTCAAACCGCGTCGTATAAAACTTGCTAATAACAATACAAGAAATTAGGAATTATGATAGTTCATATTTAATTTATAACAGTATAACACCCGATCAGCATCAATATTTGTTGTACCTTTTACTGGTTGATCCTCAAGAAGGTCGGATCTTAGGCGCCATTTTTGGATTGTAACCTGTTTTAACAAGAAAAAAAAAAAGTAAAGTTACTTTTTTAACATGACAGTCATTTTAAAAAAGAAACTACGAACTATTTGTTAATTTTTGGTCGTAAAAACTTAAAAAAGTGCTTTAATAAAAGAACTTTCCCACCACGAAATAACGATTTATTTTATAAATTTATGTAAAGTTTTTTTTTTAGCAATTAGTTTCACCTGATCGAAGTTCTGCTGGATGTAAATCAATTTGTCAACAGACTCGGAATGAAGCTTTTTTAGTTCAAGTTCGTTTAGTTGTAACATTTTGCCCGCCTGCTGAGAAGGCTCTTTCAGAGGTTGTAGAGGAGATGGGTATGCACAACCATCGTCGAGCTTGTTCTGCTAGTAAAGGAAATATTTCCTTCGTGTTTTTCCACCATTCTAATGCATTGTACCATTTGTCTGTTTTTAATCTATTCATAGATATATAACTATCTCATTCTATCTCAATATTGCTCTTGCACTTAATACTGACAGCAAATT